AACTTATTATGTTTATAAAAATATAATAGAAATAAATATATGAAGTTTTTGTTTCATTAATATATATATATATATATATATATATATATATATATATATTAAAGAAGTTAAAAGTTAGGAATAGTAAACTTGTATGTTTTTTGTCAACTTTGCCCCTCATTTTTTAGTCATTTTGACATTTTTGGTCGTTACAATCAAAATTTTTACATTTTTAGGAACCTTTTAATATTCAAAGGTTGACCACAAAACTTTAAGAAATTGACAACGTTGGTCCCTTTTCTAAAAACTTGCTAATCCAACCCCTTTAATTCTTTAGCCATTTTGATACTTTTGGTCCTTGCAGTCAAAGCTTTTACATTTTTTTCGTAAAAAACACAAAAAATGGCCCGTGGCAAGGCCCGGGTTTTTCCGCTAAAAGAGTCAACAACGAGTTAGGAATAATGAAATTCACATTTTTTTGACTGTTTTCATCCTTCATTTTTTGTGCTGTCATGTTCTTCTTTTGATATATTTTTTCTATATTGGTCTTCATATTTAACTTTTTTTGTTTTTTTCCTGCCCTCTATCTATCCGTCTCCGATTGTTTATCCGTATGAAAATAATCCAAAGTCAACTAAAAGAGTCAACAACAACGCCTATTAATCTATAAACAAAACGACACTCAAATCAGACGTACACGGCTCATGTGGAGCATGGGCAACATATCAACTATAATAAATGACGATCTATTTGCCACATGTCAATCTCTCATTAATTTTGATAGTTGTCATTTTGTATTATTTTTAAAATAAATAATATCCCCATGTCTGGTTAATATTAAAATGGATAAAATATATAAATTAATTTAAATGAAACTCAATTATATATCTACTCTAGATCGTTTATGAATTTTCTTAGTATTGTGACGTGGACAAACGATGGCTATCGACAATAAAAAATATATATACAGAAATGAGACTGGCCAACGAAAAATAAGTTAGGCTGAAATAATTGTTTCTACGCCACCAAACCAGATTATGTTAGCGTGCTGCTTCCCTCTACCTTTCATTCCTTATTTGACTTATCATACCTTCATATATATATCATATGAACTTTGCTTCAAAAAATGCGAAAATGAACATTGATTCTCCACCATGTGCAGAACAACATGCCGTCACAATCTGGGAAATCAACAGAGATCGACTCACGGCGATGCAACACAAACTTTCCGACACACCAAAACTACTTAGCGTTGCCGCCGGCCGGAACACTTGCTCCATCTTTAAAGTCCCACAAACCCTAATCGACATCAATGGTAAATCATACCATCCCCACATCATCTCCATCGGACCCTTTCACCATGGAAAACCCCACCTCCAGATGATCGAGGAGCATAAGTGGCGCTTCCTCCGCCACTTACTAGATCGAACTCAAACCCAAGGGATAGTCTTGGAAGACTTCTTGAAAGCCGTGCAAAAGCTTGAAGTCAAAATCCGGGAGTGTTACTCTGAGACCATTAATTATAAGACCGATGAGTTCATCGAGATGATGGTGCTCGATGGTTGCTTTATCATCGAACTGTTTAGAAAGTTTGGGGGAATTGTAAAGTTTGATGAACAAGATCCACTTATAACCATGTCGTGGATCGTTTCGTTTTTCTTACGGGATCTTATTCGGCTCGAGAATCAGATCCCATTTTGTGTTCTCGAATGTTTATTCGACCTGACAAAGATGTCAGAAGAAAGCACGACGCTAAATGCTTTAGCTTTGAGTTTTTTCAATTTAGCTACACAAAGACCCGAAAACGTTCTCGAGAAGTATTCAAACATCAACGCCAAACACTTGCTCGATCTTCTTCGGTCAACTTTCCTTCCACCAGAAGTCAAACGCCAGACAAAACCTGACAATCGTCCACCACCGCATGTAATCCACAGCATCTCAAAGCTTCGACGTGCAGGGATCAAATTAAAACCATGGGAGTCGGACAGTTTCCTTACTGTTAACTTCAAACATGGCATAATCCACATGCCACCGATATCCATTGATGATTTCATGAGTGCGTTTTTGTTAAACACGGTGGCATTTGAACAGTGTCATAGTGGATGCTCTAAACACTTTACTACATACGTTACGTTGCTTGACTGTTTAATAAACACGTCTAGAGATGTGGGTTACTTATGCGATTGGAATATTATCGAGAATTATTTGGGGACAGATGCTGAAGTTGCGACTTTTTTTAACAATATGGGGAAGGATATTTCTTTTGATATTGATGAGTGTTACATGGCGAGATTATTTGATGATGTGAATCGGCATTACCATAGTGGGTGGCACGTACAATTGGCAAGTTTCCGATATACATATTTTAAAACGCCATGGTCGTTTATATCTGCCATAGCTGCTCTTGTTCTTCTTCTTTTAACCATTGCACAGACGTTTTACACGATCCTGAGCTACGTTCGTCCACCATGATCAGCTTA